CCGGAATATATTACAAAAATCTAACAAGTTATATCAATATATACTAAGTTATCCCTTTTTTCATAGAATTTGAGCTAGAAAACTAACAAGTTATACCAATATATACTAAGTTATCCCATTTGTTTTACAGAATTTGAGTTACAAAACTAACAAGTTATACCAACATTTACTAAGTTACCCCTTTTGTTTCCGAATTCAATTTAGAAAAACTAACAAGTTATANCAANATTTACTAAGNTACACTATTTATTTAACCGATTACTAAGTTACAAAAACTAGCAAGTTATACTAATTTGCACTTAGTTGGCCACAGTATTGAGACATACCTTTGAATGGCTGGAGTCCGAGATAGTTTTTTCTGTGTCATTTACATGCGACTCAGTGTCATTCGAACCATCCGGGACTTCGCGTTGTCCTAGAGGCGAATCGCCAACATAATTTGGGTTCTTCGTGCGCGCCATTGATCTTCGAAAAACCAAACAACCTAACATTATAACTTCGCGAAATCGGTTAAGCATTTTAACCTAAATTCGACGCGAATTCTACTCAAAATTGCAAAATGTATACTCGGATTTGAACAAAAGAATTAGATTCTGACTTACCTTGGAATTAGATTTCGAGTTACGAAGAGTTATCATTGGTTGTACTAGAAGAAGCGAAGAGAGTTGGAAGAGGAGATGGGCGGACTTGTGTTTTTTTTTAAAACTGTCGAGTCCAGGGAGTTGTCGGGTTAAAGGGGGAGAGTGGGATCCGAATTTTCTGGGTTTGGGTGTGGGTTGATCCATTTAGGGTGGTTGGATCTGTAAATAAAAAATTTCATTAAGGAGTTTTGGGTCTTTACCTTTTTTCGATTTTTACACACAAAATTTAAATCAAAAATATTTTTTTTTTTAACACAAGGTTATATCTGAATAACATCTATGCTATAAGAGTATAGGAGGACATGGTCCAAGAATAAGATTGACATCGATTTACAACAAGACTATGCACAACATACCTTGATGTCTTTGCTACGAAAAAGAATTTGACCATGAAGTTGATTACACGGTGGAATCTCTGATCTTCTTTTTTTCTTTCTCCTTTCACTACCATAGCATCGGGCAAACACTAATGAAATGGTTTTATTTAAGGTTTTCTTGATAGTTTCTTGCCAAAAAAAAAATTGGGACCGATTGATTGATTTTCTTACAATTTTTCATTTTAATCAATGATTCTTGTAGATCGAGATAAGAAAGAATGTCTTTGATTATCAAGTTTTCTTTCGAGATAACACTTATTAACTAACCCATGTAAGACTTTTCAATTTTTTCTTCCATGATTGCTCAGTTTATCACTCTCTTCTCTTTATTTTTGCGAATATAAGCGAATGGTTTTTTTTCTTAAAAACCGTAAATTATTTATAAAGTTTGTGAATATGAGCTTATATTGGTCCGTAAAGGTTTAAATCGGGTTTTCTTTAAAAAATATTTTTTTCCCATTCTTAAAATCTATGAATTTCTCTCTTGTAGTTTCTAAAATTTTAAAAAAGATTTTAGAAACTAGTTAACGAGTAATCATAGCATTCAGATCAGTGGAGATGTATTGGAAGGTCAGATCAGTGGAGATGTATTGGAAGGTCAGCCCTCATGTGAAGACGCAATGCCTTAATACTCCTGAGAGAAGAACGAATTTTTTTTCTAAACCGTGTACCTAGAAATCAAATAAAACTAAATATCAACTACAACCAATATAATCCTTAAAGTGACTCTGAAATCACTTTTGATTATAAAGTGACTCCAAAGACGACCAAAATTGTGATTCTCAAGATCGGTAATCTTCTCTATTGCATCAAACTTATCTCCCTTGAGTTTGGCCGTACCACGTGCGTTCCTCTTCCCAAAGTTGCTTTCTTTAGTGACTTGAGCCTCCATAGTTTGGAGGAGGCCGACAATGGCTTGAAGATCCTGGATATTGTTTTCATGCAAATTGTCCCCGATCAATTACAGGCAATTGTTGCAGATTATTCCCGAACAGTTACAGGTAAATGAGAGTTTGCGCGAAAATTTTACAGCAGCAATAGCAACGAATAGCCCATCAATCCTATTCTCAATGAACCAATGTGTTAAAAAAAAATTAACTAAGAAAA